AGAGAGAACTTTACCTTCCTGAGCATTTGCATTATTTGCTAAATTCTGTTTTGTTACTGGTTCATCCATTTAACACGCTGTAAGGGAAGGAAATTAATCCCCAACTTTATACACTTGGATTCGTTGTTTACATACATTTTTATGCATAGAACACATTATCAATGGTCAAATATATGCAGAATTTAGGCCTTTTGAAAAACAAAAACAGACCAGTTGCTTTATATAATGAACTCCTTGCAGGATCATTTCCTGTTTCTTCTAATATGTTCCTAACTTTTCAAAGGAGAATTAGTCTTTTTTTCTCTACAGGAGGCTTGGTTCCGGTGTGTGAAGACAATAAAGGAAACTAACGAGAACATGAATACATAGAACGAGTAAACTGGTACCAATTAAAGCATGGCAGAGGTCCCATCATGAGTATTTTATGTGAATAAGTTCCATTATCGGTACAAGGAATAAAAATAAGATGACTTACCCTTTTCTCCTCTGAAATCAGCGCAAACTGGAACTGATTCTTATGTCTTTGCCTCCTGTGTCCAACTAAAACTTTATTTTCTTTTAACAGATGTTCAGACATTAAAATATATATAATTTAGAGCGAAGAGGCAATATGCAGAAAGAGTATTTAAACAAAGTGTTGTTCTGTATGTTCAGGTCACAAAACTGAATTTATAAAGATAAAAAATATCCAATTAAGAATGACAGTTTCAAAATATTTTATTGCAATATAACTGTAGAGCTATTACATTAGAATTCATAAGCTTTTCTCCAAAATTAGTCAATGTGAAAAAGTCAAAACATAAATATATTCAAAGAAACATAAAATAACAGAAGTCAAGTTCTTTAAAACAGAAATCTTTCCAATAGAAACCGGAGGAATGTCCAAACATTTTAACCCAAAATGAAGCTTTTTAAGACCAATTCTAATTCAAAATTCAAGGGCTAGTGTTAACATTTACAGTCCCCAACTAAAGAGTTACCTTAAAGAAAACATTACAAAATCCAACCAAAATAAAAAAAATCTTTTTTTCAACATTTCTTTTTCGAAAAACTTAAAGGTTATTAAACAAACCAACAATCTGAGCTTTTCGTTACAAAACTGCATGCAAAAATATATACAGCGTCCGCTGGAGAATTCAGCTTCCTCCACATTCATCGGCTCTCCTGGTGCAGACGTGTAAAAAGCCTTAAATTAGGACATGTCTTACATTGTTGTATAAACTGGCTTTAGAAAAAGAAAGGGAAATCTGAACGTTGCTTTTTAAATTATTTTTAAGAAACTGCATTTATGGTAGGAAATATCTCAGAAAAGGTTTTGAAAAAAATTTGAGAATAATAATCTATCTTGAGCTAACTTAGCAGAGGGTTTGGTCACATGCTTTGGATCGTGATTCTCACACTTTGCTTGTAGAAAAAAGCAGCTTTCTGTGTAAATGTTGCTTAATGTCTAAAGCCTCAGAAAAGAGCAACTGTCCCCAAGCATCACCGGCTCTCTACCATGCCTGACAGTGGGCACCATTGTCTATCTTCATGTTGCCCAGCCAATTATAACTCTCCTTTCCAATAAGAGTCCTCTGAAGAGCAGCTACATGAAAGTGGCCAATGTAAGTTAGATTTTTATTATATAAATATAAAATATCCACATGCTCTGATCAATTTAAACTGCTATGTTGGAGAGATTTTAATGGGGATCAGTAAGAATTTTAACAGTGAATTATTTTTATTTTATTAATGAATAAATCAACTATCTGCAGAAATACACTACTGCAATGAAAGATTAGTTCATTTAAGGGATTTTTACACATCCTCACCAGGACTGCCAACAATTGTTGACCCTTTCAGTAAGAAAATATGTAAAGTAAATACTGGCCAAAAAAAAGCAGAGCCCCTGACATCCATAAAGTCACAAAGCGAGGCATTGAAGGTGAAAATTAAATTAACCGTGTAGACGTGAAACAGATATACATAAAAAAATGAAGCAATAATGATGCAGGGGAGGCTAAATCCATCTGATCCATGTAAAGTGAAGGACTGTGGTTGGGGGACAAAAGACAGGCTGAGTGGGATTTAAGAAAATTCAACAAAACAGAGAAAATAAAGACAGGAGGACGGGGAAGAATATTAACCCCCTCGTTAACAAGAAGACGTTCTGATCCCAGCTGATAAAGAGTCGGGGGGGCAGAGTGCTGTCAGTGTTCAGCTGTAGAATGAGGGATGCCGGGATTTTTTTCTCTCTCCGTTTTTTTTTTTTTTATGTGCAGAGTTCTTTGTTAACAGCCGTCCTACTGTGTGATCAAATGATCCTGGTACCTCTGCAGCATCTCCTGCATCCGCCGCAGCTGTGAGGAAAGAAGAAAGATGTCAGCAACAGCATCCAGCTTCAACCGGAAGTATAAAAGTCTGGGCATGTCAGCTTCGACCTGTGCTAATTATCTAAACAGGACTACAGGCACAACTAAATCGATAACACCAGCAGGATCATGTGATGGGCATGGATCACGTGACCTGGCAACAGCCAAAGGGAGCCGGCGGCCCCTCAGAGGGAACTGTGTCATGACATTAAAACATTATGGGAGCTGCGGGCTGTCCGTGTGGCAGTCTGCAGTTATTTAGTTAAAGACAATATGCCCTTCAAAATAAAATAAAAACAAGTGGTGGAAGAAAATTTATTTTTATTTCCAAATAAATAGATTTCTGAGGATTAAATGGGGGAGAGAGAAGGATAATAAAATACATAATCAGCTGTGAGATCTACTAAATAATTATCAAAAAACAAATATTTTAATTTAAGGTTCATATCTTATAGGAAAAATAATACAAATCTAATAACATGTTTTTAAAAAATCACAAACTCCTAAATATTCTGTTTGCTAACTTTAATTCTATGACCATCATTTCACCCTCCTTTTGCCTTTTGCCTTCCTAACAATGATTTAAAACAATTTGGCTCGAAAATGGATTCCGTATTGATCAATAATATACTGACATTGATCTTGGTCTGAGTTTTACACATAAACTCATATACGGTGTAAATTATTAAGATCTGGTTTCATTTATTGTGGACCCTATAAGAGGTTGTTCACTTTTTTTTTACATTTTAAAAAGTGTATAAATTATTTTTGGCTAATCCCCAATGAACAATGAAATGTTGATTTTTTTCCCCACCCATCCCCACTTTATTAGCAATAACAAATACCTATTAACCTATGATGAGGTCAATTCATTGTTGCTAAATACTTAAAACATGTGTAAATTAAATAATTCCTGAAATAAAAATGATCTAAAACCAATTTCAGTTTAAATGATGAAAATTGTGAACAACCCCTTAAATAGGTTCCAAATACAACCTTCATGTCAACCATTGACATAAAAGCTTTTGCTGGATGGTCTGTATGAGCTGAAAAGAAAGGAGACACTCTCTGCTTTCATCAATAGCTTCTGGAATAATCTCAGCTGGATACTTGATCACTTTTTCACCACCAGGAACGGTGAAGCACTTCTGGATTGGTTGTTTTATGTGTTCTTTTTGTACCAGACATTTAAACATAATCTATGCATTACCAGTAAGGCTGATGCAACTAAACACAAGGTTAGAAAATACCAACATACATGGACATGTACTGTTTAATAAACCGGAAAACTCTACTGCAGTGGCATCACCTCAACCCATAGAGCCCTGAAATGGTTTACACAATTAAACAAGGTTTCAAAAAGAAACCCAAAATCTGCACGGTTACATCAGGATGGCTAACCTTTGCGCTTTAAGCTGGATTTTCGTGAGATTTGAGTTTTCAGTCTCACAACAAATCCATCCTGAAAGACTCCTGCTAATACGTCTGTCTCCAAACAACCAGCGGGTCGGACCAATGACATGTCAGCAGTGTTTTTTGGGGCGGGACATGTAGAAATGATGACAGTCAGAAGGGCCTTTGACACGTTTGTAATGCCCCAGCAATTGACTCAGTTTTAGGTAAAATAGAGACAATTTCTCATTTAAAAAAAGAAGCACTTTGTGCATTTGTAGATGGGACAGATGTCTGCATTTCTTCTGACAGGATTTGGAAAAAGTTTGATCTATCTGCTTACAAAACAACACAATTCACTGCTACAATTGGTTAAATATATTCTATATATCTTATATTGTATATAGCTATAGATTCTGTTTATATATATATATATATATGTATATATATGTATATATATAATTTGTCGGCACCATCAACACCAAGTCAAATTGGCACCCTTAGGACCCAATTCATACAGTTCATCTCAAAATGAAAACAGTTGATTTTGGGGGTTAGTTTCTATTTAATGTCCCTCAATTTTATTCCAGGGTTAAAATATTCTGGTTTATTAGTTGGAAAACCCATCTGGATCCAACTGGGTGAGGTTCATTAAAAAGAGAAAATTGAGTAACATAGTAGAACTCTGGACATGGTTGTTTTTTCCAGCAGGAACAATGATCAAATCACACATTAAAACTGGTTTGGGAATCAATAAAACAGGCAAATAGCATCACCATTAGCCGCATTAAATACCTGCAGACTACATTAGAAAGGAGAAGCTCTGCTATGAATCAGCTCTACTGTTCCTGCCAATAAATTAATTAAATATCCAGCTAGAAATAGACCAGAAGCTTTGATAACATCAAAAAATCTCATATTTCTCTGCAACTTGAGAAATATTAAATCAAATAAAAGCAGAGGTACAAGTATATATTCAAACCTGAATGTTTAGTTTTCAAATTATTTTTTTGTTTAAAATAAAAAAATCAAGTTTTTTCCTTGTATCATCAATCCATTCAGAAAAATAAATAAATAAACCTTAAACATTATTTCATCTATTTGTCAAAACTCAAACTCTGTGGGAAACATCAGAAACTAATAACAGAGTAGATGTTGTAAGGATTAGACTGTGGAGGTTTTAGATCTCCGAACATTTGGCCCAAAATCTATTTCTGTCATTTAACAGCAGTTTTGTGAGAACTGTTCTAAAGGTGCAAATATCTGCATAAATAATCTACTTCAGTCTTAGTTTAGAAGGACTTTGAGGTAACGATGCTAAACAGCATCAGAGAGCTTGGTCAGCCTTCTGATCTGAACGTGTCCCTTTGCCAGGCTGAGGCGCTGAGGGCTCATGGCGCCCAGCGTCGTGCTGAGACACTGGGTCTGGATGCGACTCCTGTTCGCGGTGGGCGTTCCGTACCTCCTCGTCTTTCTCTCGTATGAGCTTTTCCGTCTCGCTCTCCGTGCCTCCGGGGACCATGGGGATGGGGAAGTCTGTGCCGCTCTCCCTGGTTAGCTTACTGCAGAGAGATGCTGGTTAGTTTTAACCCACCGCTGTATTAGCTCAACAGCTCGTCCTCTACGATCGTACTTGCGGTTTCTTTCCTTGACGACCATGCGGGTCATGCTCTGGATGCAATGTGCTCTGTAGTTCTCATAGTGAGTCTCTCGGGTCACATCCTTTAGGTCTTGCATGTGTGTGCGTACGAGCATGTTCCTCAGCTTAATGAAGTCACAGTGAGCAGAGTTTTCCACTAAAAGAGAAAATACATGAAGTTTAGCTTCTTTATAAACCATGGCACTAATAGGATCAGAGGCAGGTGGATCTGAACTAGGCTGCTGGCCACTAGAATCTGACTTGTGGATCACCTTCTACGATGCCCCAGGGGTAGAGGCGGCCCCTCACCCTCTTCCCTTTGGCCTCCACCACCGTGTTGCTGCCAATCACTGCAAAGGGAATGCTCTCCTTAAAGAAAGAACAGAAAACCCCAACAGTTAGAACGACATCTTTAGACATTCAACAGATTTAAGAAGGTCTGGTTAGTGATGGACGCATACAGCACTGAATGATCCACTGAGCCTGATACAGTTCATCACAGCCTAATCTGAGCTGATCTACAGAGGGGAATGTTTGCCTTTTTGCTTTTGCTGAACACCTAAAGCTCAGAGAGTTTGGATGAAGAGGATCTTTGAACATCGATGCCAAAGATTCTCACCTGGATTTAGGCCTTTGCTTTGAATAGATCATCCTAATGCATCAGCTAGTTTGAGCTAAACTAGTTTGAGGTTACAGGTCCTGTAGGAAGATCCTTGCAGCTTCTATCAGAGCTACATTCTGTGTTTACCTCCCTCAATCTCCTCTTCACCTCCGACCACCTTTCCTGTCCCAGTAGAAGTAAAGCAATCCCCCAGCATGATGCTACCACCATGTTTCATCAGGGGCTGCTTTTTTTTCCTGTATATTGTGTAGTGTTAGATTTCATTTAATCGAAGAAGGTGTTTCTTCTTGTTTGCTTTGTCGCAAGCATTTTTGTATCAAACAAAGAAACTGAATTTTTTTTCTTAACATGAGCTTTTTTTCCTATTCTTCAGGTTCTTCCAGCTGAGCTGTGGAGCTCTGCAGCTTCTCCAGAGGAGCTACAGGACTTTTAGCTGCTTCTCTGATTTATGCTCTCCTTACCCGACATGTCAGAATAGGTAGACAGCCATGTTTTGATTACTTTTTAACTGTGACCATAATTTTTATTTTCCATTTTTTTGGAAGAACAATTAATCATACTTCTGAGGTTTTCATGATGCTGTCTGTTCACTGATGTACTCTAGCAAACCTCTGTACTCCGCTGGAACACAGATGGGTTTTATTTGCTACTCAGAGGACTAATGAAGGCAACTGGATCTAATTTAAGGCTATTAGAGACAAACACATGCCATTGTTTTGGTTTTTTGTGGTTAAAATTAGCTTTTTGTTTTCTCCAAGCTCGGTTGCTCAGAGGAAATTCCTTTCCTTTTTTTCCCCACTCACCTTCAGCTCCAGGTCTTGCTGCTTAAACTCTTCATCTTCATCAGAGTCACAGTCGGGGAACTGATAGATCTTGATGCCATACTGTTCAATCTCCTCTCTGATCTGTGGCAACATGTGCTAAAGCCGTTAGAATTTAGGCAGCACTGAATATTTATCAGAGAAGAAAAATAAATAAATGATTGCCTTGCCTTAATTTTCTTTTTCTTCACCTCACTCGGGGTGAGCGTATCAGCTTTAGCCAGAATGGGCACAATGTTGACCTTCTCATGCAGAGCTTTCATGAATTCAACATCCAGAGGTCGGAGACTGGAAGGAGCATAAAACACAAGAAAACACGCCATATTAAACAAAGGGATACATTCTAGATGTCTGATGAGCCCAACATTTAGTATGAGCAGACTGCATTAAATAGGCCGCAGGAAATGAAGAGTAAGTATAAAGACTAACCAGCAGAGGGCGCCCTTTCCTCACATATCTAACATTTTAATGCACTGTAAGCTTATTTCTAGTTGAGTAACACAGATGTGGAAAATTAAGTGTGAGCAAGCGTGAAGAAAAGCATCAAATCAGCAGAAAAGGCTCATCAGTGTAAAAGAGCAGCACTAATTCTAAAGTTTCCTGAAGGCATCTTAGAGCTGAGGAGGGTCAGAGCTTCCTGCATTACCTGTTTTACTATTAAATGGCCAACTGAGCGGGAGATACATCCTTTGGTACTGTCAAATGTTTAGCAATGTCAAAGGTTCATGTCTTTAGTATATAAAATTTATAAGCTTTTCGGTTGATTTTTTTCCCCAACACGATAAAAACAAGGTTTCCCTGTAAATCACAGCATTTAATGTAGATATTTTTAGATAGAAGGAAGAAAGACAGACAATTAGAAGGATAAATGGATGTATGGAGCAAGGTTTAAATAGTTTTGACGCTTTCGTTTTTATTTACTTCTGATTTTCTTCTCTATTTCAGTTTTAATTTGTTTTTGTATTTGTTAGCTAGTTCAGTTAAGAAAAAAAAAAGAAAAAATAACAGTCGGAAACTAGAACTTATATTCATACATTATGATAAAGGCACAAACGCAAACAAAGCATATTTTCTCTAGAAGTCAATTAGTTTTAATTAGTTTGATAAACTATTACAGTTCAAGTTAATTTTCATGTTTTTTCAAGGGCTAGTTTTTATTTTTCTAGTTTTGGTTTTAATTAATGATAATCTTGGAGTGGACTGAGAGACAGATGGACAAACTGATTGGATGATGACTTTACAGCAAAATGGAAGAATTATTTATATAACAAGCCAGTATTAAGATAATTTAAAAATATTTAACCTAAATCCTTTATTTTCCAGAGCTTTGCAGTAATCCTGGAACATACACTTCAGATTGTATCATGTATGTTGTGCAGAAAGACAAACAAGGTTATTGTTCCTCAGGATGAGAAAACCCTCCTACCCGTGACCGAAGGGTGAGATGAAATACAGGCAGCAGTGCACACGGTTGTCCTGGATGTTCTTGCGGTTGAGGCCGCTCTCGTCCCTGAAGTACTGCTCGAACTGCTGGTCGATGTAGTCTGCCACAGACTTCCAGCTGCAACAGAGACACAAAGGAGCGTTCAGTCTCCCAGCAGCTCAGGGAGACCATCGCTACACTTTTGATATGTACCATTCAGTGTTGTTTACAGCATCACCAAATCCAGGCGTGTCCACGATGGTGAGCTTAAGCTTCACGCCTTTCTCTTCTATATCCACGGTGTGTTTGGTGATTTCAACTGTTTGCGTGATCCTCTCTGAGGAGAGACTTCAAATATGAGCAAAAAGACAACAAATGCATCAAAGTTCAAAGCTGTAGGTTCCTCACCTTCCGCATTAAGCAGCTTCCTATCTTTGTACAAATCTGTGAGAAACAGGCTGTTGACCAGAGTGGACTTTCCCAGGCCGGACTCACCTTCAAAGAAAGGACAAAACCTACATCAGCAAGGCTTAAAACTCTGAGTAACAAGTTCTTCCAAGTCAAAGGTGAGCTTAGGATCAAATGTCTAGAAAAGTGTAAGTTAGGGATTTACCAGCCACCATGAGGGTGAAGTCAAACCCTTTCTTGACTGATTTGCGGTGCACCTGGTTTGGTAACGTTGCAAAGCCCACATATTCCTTGTCTGGATCCTAAAAGTAAACCAAAAGGTAAAACCTCATCAGTGATAGAAAGGTTCAAACATAAAGGCAATTACTTTAAACAACTGGACTGAAGACAAAATTAAACAATTAACTGGATAAAAATCAATTTCAGAAATAGATAATACATTTTGGGACAGTGGGAATCCTCAGAGGTGAATGTTTAGACTCAAATAATTCATATTTCATGTGAGCAAATAATGAAATCTACTGCAATGCATTTCATTGGCCTAAATACCACATTCTTTACTTCTTTTGCCAAAAGGTTATCAATGCATGAAGGACGCAATGAAAAACCATTGAACAACTGGAAAGGAAAAATCCATATAGATAAAACAAAACAGAGCAACACAGACACAATATGTGAGTTAGTTTGGCCAAATTCAAATGACAGAGAGAGATGATGATAAGATTAATGCATTCTAAAGCTGCCATAAACATGAGGATTTAAAACCATGTAGGCAACAACACCACAGGAGCCAAATGCATCAAAGCTTTGCTTCCAGGGACCAAGAAAGCCAAAAAAACAACTTGTTCTTCACAGAAAAAAAATCACAGTGCTTTTAAAAACGCCAAAGCAAGCCGCCTTCAAAGCAGATCCAAACTTTACCATCCGGGTTTACTGAGACTCCTTTTTTTTTTACCTTATTATTGCTGTATGGATCAAACAAAGCCCAGGGGCTCCTGGGTCTGGAAGGACTGATGGGAGGGGGCAAATCAAACTCCACACTTTTACTCTGCGAAAAGCCAGAAGATGAACCTGCGTCTGACAGGGCTGGACCTGCTGATGGGGGCTCCAAATGAGACGGGGTGAGGGGCCGGTCTCGGCCAACAAAGTCTCCGTCTGCAAGGTGGACTTCGTGGTCCTGCTGGTGGGTTTGGCTTTGCCCTTCATAATGTGGAGCATCATGCATTATGTTCTCCACATCAGAGTCGTCTGAATGGCTCAAATGCTAGAGAGACACCGAGGCCAGAGAGGCGGGGGGATGAGAAGGAAAGAAACGGAGCAAATGGGAAATGAGAAAGAAGAAATGAACAGAGCTAAATGAGGAGGGAAAGATACAAAGATCCAAGAAGGCGCCAGAAATTTGAAAAATAATTGCCATGGTTTAAGCATTTCTGCACAATCAACTGGAGCAGTAAACTAAATGTTGGGCAAAAGTTATCTAGTAATTACTTTCTCCAGTAGACTGACAAAAATGTCCTTCTTTCTTATAATTAATTTGAATCATATTTTTGGAATTTATGATTTTTTTATGTAAATGGTTTGCCACCATACACTAGTTTGAACTAGGACTGCAACTAATTATTATTTAATATTAATATTTTGTTGTTTAATCGATTAATAATCTTGTAGCCAAAGGTCCCTTAAAGAAATTTTTTTACCAAATTAAACCAGGTTAAACCAAAAGTTTTTCCACTTGAGGAGTTCTGGATAGAGCATATTGACAGACATTTGTTTTTATTTATCTTCAATGCAAAATGTTTATATATTTTTAACAATTTTGACATAATTACTGCTTTAAAAGAGTTGCTCTATCAGCTAAAGGTTTTACAGTCTCTCTACTACAGTTAACGATTAATCAATGACTAAATTAGTTGATGATTATCTCAAAAATCGATTAATCCAATTAATCTTTTCATACATTTTTTTGAACATTAACTTAATCTGATTTCTTAATCTGATTTGATAAAAAAACACAACCTAAATAAATAATTGTGTTCATCTTTCCCCTTAGAGAGGTTTTTTTTGCTTTTTTATTTCTACACTCAAATGATTTTGATTATCAAAGAAAAACTGTTTTGCGATCAATGGTTTGTGATAATGTTTCTATAAATGTGGAGGAAATAAGGTCCTTTTTCAAAGCTAATTGTTTAATTTAGTTACAATGGAGGGTTTCTGAGCTGGAGCGGCCTGTTGAAGTTCATACCACAGCATCTTAATCTGATTAAAGCCAATAAAAAATAAATACTTTGACTTAGGGCTGGGTGATATAGAAAAAAAGCTTATCGATAAAAAAAAATGCATATTGATCGATATAGATAATTATTGAAAAGATTTGAAACCATATTTTATGTGCAGCTCTGCCTGGACATTTTATGATATTGCTAAATGATTTAATTTCAATAAAGAACACAAACACAGACTTCCAATTAAATATTTATTTAACCAATTTTTTTAACCATAACAGAATTGTTTTAAAGAAAAATAACTTAAGAGACCTGAGTTATGTTATTAAATACTGACAAAGAATAAACTAAAGTGACCAAAATAAATATAACAAATAAATAACTTTTATCGACACTGTTTTTTTCTATTGCGCCACACGTCTATCGATCGATATATATCATTATTGAATTATCGCCCAGCCCTACTTTGACTAGGCCAATTCAAGCCTTTTATTTAGTCTTTTTTCAAAGAAAAAAAAAAATCAAAACCTTTTTTCTACCCTTATTGAACCTGTTCAGATCAGGGTATGGTGAGCTGCCTTTAAAGGTCTTTTGGCCTACTTCAGGCTTCTATTTTAATCATTTCTTTATTCTTACACGGTAGTAGAAATCAGACCTGGGTAGTAAACCCAAACTCTACTTCCAAAAAAAATTAGTTTTTTCACATAGGACGACGTGGTTTGTGGTTTGTTAATGGAAGAACAATAAACTTAAAAGCTGCTGTTAGCTAATCTTTGTCAAATATACTTAAGAAACTTGAACAAACAAATCTGTAAGGTGGGAAATATTTTTCCTTACAGCACTGTAGGTCTCTATCTTATTTATTGGAAAGTAATGCATCCAAGTCCATGTTTAATGGAGAAAATAAAACTTTTGCCGACAAATATTTGAACTCAAAATGATAAAAAAAAAAAAGCTTTCTCTTTTGCGAATAAAGACATATTGAATTAAAGAGTGATTCCGTATCAAAGATCTAAGTCCTGTTTTCCAAGAATGAAAATCTGTTTTGTTTCTTAGTAAACAATGAAGCAGTGAGCCTCCATCTTTATCTCTGCAAAGGCACGGATACCTGCGCAGCACCGAGGTGTCTTATCTGATTAGGAGAGGATGGGCAGGAGTCCTGCTCATCTGATGAAGAGGAGGGGTCATGGTCGATGTCCTCCATGGATGCTACACTGCACAGTCTCCAGACACAGCAAAGAAAGACATCCAGAAGAAAAAAGGGAGAGGAGCGCCCGAAGTGGGAAAATCAGACAAACAAGGTTGAAGAATCGTGAACAGTGTGGGAAACGGATGAAGGAGGATGGAAGAAGATAATAATGAGATAACAGGTTACAGAAAGAAAAATAAAAGTAGGAACAGCAACTATTTAACAGAGAAATGGTATGACTACAGCTTCCATGGAGCCAGTGTTTGGCTAAGAGAATAAAGCAATGATTGAGCAGAACACGGGGCATTTTGAGGGCAGCTGTGTATGTTTTTAATCTCTGCACAGTGCGCTTTTCAGCCTTCAAACAGCACCCCTGACTTCCTCCCCTTCAGGCAATGTTGGTAACTGAAATAATACAAAGTCGCAGCTGCAGTTGAATAATGCAAAAAAAAAAAAATACACTAAATGTTTCATGAGAAGCTAAGCCGCTCGTATCTTAAAACTAGTCTGTCAATATTTTATACGTTTTAAACTTGATATCAGTATAAATTACATCATAAATGATAAAATAGTTTTTGTGATTTCAGAGATTTAACTGTACAGAGATTTGTAGTTCTAGGGCAGAAGGAAAACTGACCTGATTCCCTGGACTATCAGCAAATCACTGAGATCAATGACCAACATGGAGGGCCTGTGACCTACATAACACCAGGGGGGATGGTCGATCACACCGCTTTTATCCTACAGCCTCCTGCTTTCTGCTATAAATGATGCCATAAAGCTACAAAGAGTCTTCAAGCAGCATCTGGGCTGCCTAACAATAACTCATCCCACTACTGAGACCATAAAAACATTATCCAGTTCATCCTCAGATAAGCTGATAATTAACTCCCCTCACTGTTAACAAGTCCATGCAGAGCATCACCTCCTCTGTTCCGGTTCCTCACCTGTTGTACTTGATATCTGAATGTAAAACCTCCTCTCTGCTCCTCAGTTAGCTCCGCGCTACAAGGGCTCCAGCAGGCAGAGAGAGCATCAGCTCCAGCATTTATACAGAGGACGCCGTGTCCTTCAGATCCACTGAGCCAATCGCTGCCCCGGGAACTGATCGACAACATTGATGAACTCCATTCAGAGGCTCAACACGCACCCCCACTACAGCACCAAAAACTAAAAGACTTGAAGACTCAACAGTAAGGGTTATTCGTATTAAACAAAACAACATTTTTCAAAGGACAGCTGTAGAGTTATGAGACCTCTACAGTCGTCCAAAAACATCAGTTGCTCTCCCATTGCTCAAAATAGGGAAGCAGCTGATGCAGTGCAAAGGAAGCAGTTCTGGTATCTGTCATTGCTCTGGCCTCTCTGATGGCATTCAGCAAGGAAAGTGAAGAACCATCCAACTGTGGATGTACTGTATTTGCATAGAGCAGGGGTTGCAAAGTGTGGGATGGTTGCATGAAGAAAGAAATGCATTTATACAATTGTGCCGATGTGAATGAAATGAGTAACTGTAGTGCTTAATAGGTGAGGATAGTTCAACAAGGACAATTTCATATTCACACTGCAAAGAGGGTGATTTGTTGCAATTTTCCTTCTCTTAGTAACTGTATACCTCAACCAATCGGAGGTAGTGGTGAAGATTGCAGATGACCCCTCCCATCCTGGACACAAACTGTTCCAGACTCTACTCTTTGGCAGGAATCTGAGGCTCATCAGACCCAAAACTTCCTGCAACAAAAACTGCTCCTTCCTTTTCTGCTGATGACATCATTAACAAAGCCTTGGTCCACAGCTGAAACATTCCCATTTAAAATTAAATGCATATCTAACCACATGCCAATATTATATACATTTAATTTCATATTGCTATTGCATATTTTCAAGATGTCATGGTGTCCTTCCTCTGCAGAAAGTTTCAAATGATTCTCTATTCTCATTATATTCCTATTCAACATCTCCCTATGTGTAGTACGTTATCACCAAAGCAAATTCTTCTTATCTGTAGAACACTACAGCTACCGTCTCCACTCCATATCGGTACAGAACCCCATGCATCATTGAGGAGGGAATGGATTTCTAACTCACTGATTTTAAGTGAGTTTTTCCAAAATACAAAGTGTTTGAATAGCCCCTCCAAACGTGCAATGATCACCTTTACCACAGGTGATAACTGAAGTTGGCTAAATGTCTGGCATTCATTTTTTCTGGTCTATTTTTTCACCCGCTTGGCCTAAATAAGATCAGATATGGTGGAAAGGTCTGCACAGTGACTTTCTTGGTAAAAATCAAACTCTGACAGGTAGACTTCAATAGACAAGAGAAAGAAGCAAGATAAAGAACAATCGTCTGATCTGATTATGTGGTAAAGCGAGCCGGGCAGGTGAAATGTACGAAAAATGTTCTGCGTCAGGGACGAAACATCTGCAGAAGTTTGGCATGTTTTTAGTTGGACTTGGTTCTTTAATGTTAATAAATGCTTCAGAAAATAACTGCAGGCTAAGCTAAAAAATGACCTGAAAGAAAAAAAAAGCCACAAAAGCTGCTTTGTATGACAGAATGGCAATATGGAAACTATACCAGCAACTATGTGCAGACATTAGTTAAACATAAGCAGGGCGCCAAACAAGTGGTTTCAGATGAAAAGGAGGATTACAACAAATGCGCAGTGAATTCAAAAAATAATACCCATAACATCTAGAAAGAACTTCATAAATACAAAAAAGTCAATTTGGGGATGAATTGACCTTTGAAGAAAATGTCTTACTTTTCCTTCCTTTTACCGGCATTCCTGAACTGTGTGAACCCTATCAGGTTACTGAGACAGGCATTACAGAGAGCTGCTATAGCATTTATTTTCCTTCAACCAACAAGGTATCTTTAAGCCACCAGTGGGGACTTGATCAGCAGTTACCAGGTTTAGCCCCCATAAAAGCAACTGGTAACACTGCACTGTCGCCAAATTAAACACTAACTAGTGTCTTAAAATGTGAAAGCAGGCCACTTTGAACCATCAGACTGAGAAATGGGTTCTGTGCTTTAGATGGAAAATAATAAGTGCCAGTATTCCCTTAAATTGATACAAATATCTGATATACATGGGTAATATTTTTATGCAGAACTATGTAATTATAGTTTTATTGTCAGTTAACAAAAAAGAACAATCTTTCCATCATAAGTCAAGTAGCTAATCATGATAATAGCATTTTAAGAAAAAATTTGTAAAACATAATTAGATATAAGCAATGAACAATCATGGCTTAAGAAAATGTTGGACTCCTCTCCAGTGCCTGCCTTCATGCCCCCCTCCATTAGCCCAGTGTGTAATGAAGTAGTAAAAAAGCTCTGCTACACGTGATACTTTATCAAAGTCATGAGTCAATAAATCGAACGCAGGTTGGAAACAGGAACATTGAAAAAATATTGCAATTAGGGCTGACAAAGTTATCATGTAACTTTGCCTTGTCAATAATCTGATACTCTGCTGGGATGATAAGTTGGTCTAAGGGGGGAAATTCAGGCCACTGATGTTAAAACACAAAAGCTTCTCACCATGCATGGTGGATTCCACCACAAACCCACTATCCACAGACTATACACAAAACGCAAAGAAAAAGGTGGAGGCCCAATGAGGCACCAAACACCCCAACCCCAAGAATACATCAGGAAGATGGAAGAGAAGGAACTGGAGGAGTCATCATGGGAGGAAAAAAATGTGCATGGGATATACTAGAAAGATGAAGTGGTTTATATGACCAAATCCTACTGATTAATAGAGGGGGCCGGGCTGAAGGACAGCACAGAAGAACTGATCATGGCAGCAGATGAGCAGGCCTTAAACACCAGAGCAATACAGACCCAGATCTACCACACTAGGAAATATTCCAGATGCAGGCCATGCAAAGAGGCCCCAGAAACAATCAAGCATCTCAGAGCCGGGTGTAGGATACTGATAATTGAACATCATAACCAAGGGACTGGTATAGTGTACAGAAACATCTGTGTAGAATACAAGCTGGAGACCCCCCAGCCAAAATAAAGTCATCTCCCAAGGTGGTGGAGAGTAACAGAGCTATTATCCTGTGTGGAAAGAGTCTAAATGGTTGTGGTCAACCAACCAGACATTGTGATCGTTGATAAGCAGCAGAGGACAGGTGTAGTGATGGGTGTGGCCATCCTAAATAATGGAAACATCGCGAAAACAATAAAAAAACAAGACATGACAAGAGTTAGTTGAGATGAAGAAGCCACCTGACCAAGAGCACAAACGGCTGGTGAGAGCATTTTTATATTCTAGAACATATATAGTACATGTTCTTTAACATATATTACATATTCCAATGAAATAATACAAATTTTTCTGAAATTGCATTTCAATCTTAGAAAAGAGTGTGACCAGACCAAAGCCACTAGGAGGGACATTTGAATAGTGTCAAAAAATAAAGTTGGTATCATGTGTCCTGCAGAAAAATCAGTTCATAAAAATATCATTAACTTGATCTTAGTGGAGAGATGTGCCAGTCAAGCTCAGGTAAACTATGTCAACACAGAGAAAAATCCTTTATTATTAAGATAGAAAATTAAAACTATTTGTCTTTGCTCTCAAGAGCTTCAAAATGTGATAGAATAATATCCTTTATTCGAAACTTTAAAAACACTCATCAATAAAGATAAAATAAAACTAGGAGAAAACTATGACACTGATTCAAGAAGAACGTCTACCTAGAAAGAGTCTCATCCTCGTTCTGAACCCATTAATATTTATATAACTGGTTGGTTTATCTCAGGTTGTTAATGGAAAAAAGGCTGAATAAACTCCAGACCAGGCAACACCACAGCTGCACCAAGCATGGCTTTTACATAACATCAGGTCTACAGGCAAACCATGTGACTTTTTAAATCCTCTGAAGCACAACAGCTGCAGAACTGGTTTATGACAAATCATCTTTTTTATACAGTAAGTCAGCTTAAGTCCGTCTGACCTTAAAGACTTCCTAACATTACTTTAAAAAGCT